AAATAAATCCCATAATATTAGAAATTTTCTCCCATCCAATCATTTCCATTATATAGCTCTTTGTTTGGTACAACTCAAGTAGTGTTGGATTAATGCAGTTTTCATAAAAAAAGAAAATCACTTATTAAGAACATAATTATTATGCCCTTAACCTTCGATGTAATTCTCAATTATGTCCATAATCTTTTATCTTATTTTATTGATTTTTAGTTTTTTTTTGGACAAATTTATTTTTAGTTTTGGTTCCAATTGTATAAGAGGAAGAAGTTGGCAAAAGCCTATTTTTAACTTTTCACCTTGCCAAGTTTAAAGATTTCAGCTTCTCATCTTATACTATGACATTTTTAATTCCTTATTTTAATAAATTTATATATTTTAACCCTTCACATTATATTATGACACTTTTAACCTATCACATATTAAAATTAAAGAAAATAACCTTTATTTTATAATATTTTGTTAATTTTGTTAGTTGATTGTTAGTTGATTGTTAATTGTTAAAAATCTTTTTTTAGTTAATAGAGTTAACATAACTAATTTTATAATATTTCGTTAATTTTGTTAATTGGCTATTAGTTGAGTGTTAGTTGATAAAAATCTACTTTCAGCTAATAGAGTTAACAGTTAGTATAAAGTGAGGCTGTTTTTTTTTTATTTTAATAGGTAAGGGGTTAAAACTTATAAATTTAGTAAGGTGAAGGGTTAAAAGTGTTATAATATAAAGTAAATAGTTAAAACCTTTAAATTTGATAAGATGAGGGACTGAAAATAGGATTTTCCCGAAGAAGTTACCTTTACCTTGTTATTTTATTTTAAGTTGGAAAAATTCTCCGAAAGCTTAATCCTTTATTCATTTTCTTAGTTTAATTATTTTAATCTCCAATCCATCGTCTGATTCCGGCAACCTGCTTTCCACCCAAATCTTCCCACTTGCAGTCAAAATACAGCAAAAGGTTCCCACCTTCGAGCACACAATGTGTTTGATATAATGTCTCAACGACAAAGTACACTTCCTCTCTGAAGGTCTTACATTTCCTGCTACAATTTGAGCTTCGGGATAAAGCCAACCATGTTTTTCTATGATCTCTATGATGGGT